GAGGGACAGGGAGGCTCCTCCCTTCCTCCTTTACACTAGCTTGGGGTCGGGGTTTCGTCCAGCGGGGGTGGAGCTTCACTCGCCAGGGGGCAGGGCTGGGGAATGCCTCACCCAGATCAAGAGGAATCGCACGTCACTGGTGACAAGCAAGCTACAGTTAAAGTGGACCTTTGCCCACTTTGACCATAAATCACATCAGTATACAGCTCTGCATGCTGATATGAAATCATTTTACATTCATTAGCTAAACAAACAGATTTTTCATTTACTTACAATCTCTTTAATGCCACTTCCTGGTCACTTTGTCGCCAATTATGTAATTGTGACCAAGCATTGCATCTTGGGAATGTTACATCAGCAGAGCATTTCATCGGTAACCTCATGAGATGTCAGGGAAAGGCATTTTCCTCCCCTGAGATGATGTGCATATTCACATGTGCCAGAGTTCCAGGAAGTAAAGATGATCTATTATCCTGCCCATTTTTTGTTAGCTTTCCTCTTCATATCCTCATGGAAATGTCTGCATTTGTGCTGTGCAGAGCAATGCAAGTATATTGCCCCCCCCCCAGGACAGTGTATTGTATGTAAAGGCAGAGCTGGTGTTTACTGATCATGTTACAATGGGTGATAGGGAAGGGGGCAGCTGATTACAGTCTGACACCCTGGTGTGAGACTGAATTTCCTTTTTTGAATATTTAGGCTTCAGGCCTAATAAAACCTTCATTAAAAAAAAAACAAGCAATGTGGGTCATGAAAATGTGCACACATATACATCACTGCACCTCTTCATTACCACAAGAATTGCTAATCATTTACAAAGGTGGAAATGGACTTTAAATCTCTATTCTATCATAGCAAACATGTAGCTGCTGTTGGACTGCTGTCATGCATACTTTGCATTACCATTTCATTGGATTCTGTTCGCTTCCTTGCTTGCTGACCACACATGATGTGAAGGGCTATATAAATAGTAAAGCAGTAAGCGATACAAATCAGACAGAGGTTCTAACACCTTGCTCTCTATATAGAAAACAAAAATACATTTTGGTTGGAATTTGCTTTTTAACTGTACCCAAGTCTAGATCAGGCACTAATGCTTTTAAAGCCTGAGCTTTCATTACAACTATTGAGTTTGCTGCTGCTGTAAAAAAAAAAACATTTGTCATTATATGTATTTTAGTTACTGTTACTGTGCGCCTGGAACCTTGGAGAGCCTTGTCAGATGATGTAAGAGCTGCGATATTCCGGCCGCTATAACACCTCTCTAACCCTGCTGAGATTTCAAGGGCACAAACTACCTCTAATACTATTCTCATTTGTTTTGGCCTGAAAATATGGCATAATGCCAAAAATGCATTCCTCAGCTTTCTTTCTGTCCCTCTGGTGCATTAAATTTCACTCAAAATTTGCCTTTTTAGCAAGCTAGGAAGAGGAAGCGATGCAGGTTTTCACACATGTATGCAGCAAGAAATAAAAATGTAACTGGCATAGTACATTTCTAAATAGTTTTTTCAGCAATTTAGCTTAGTAGTTAGCATGTCTGCCTTGTAGCACTGGGGTCCTTGGTTCAAATCTTGGCCAGGCCACTATCTACATGAGTTTACAAGTTCTTCCTGGGTACTCCTGTTTCCTCCCACAATCTAAAGACATGCTGCTAGGTTAGCTGAAACTCCTGTCTTCATTGGCCGTAGTATGCGTGTATGTATGCCTATGATATAGGGACCTTAGATTGTAAGCTCCTTGAGAAGAGGTACTGATGTGAATGTACATTATGTGAAGTGCTGCGTACGTTGTCGGTACTCTATCTATCTTTATATATCTATATTTATATATCTATAGCTATATCTATATATAGAGATATATCTATATATACCTGTAATAATAAATAGGGGAAAAAACACAATATCTGCAAATGTAAATGTATCAGTAATATCTGTTGGGGGCCCTCTCCTGCTAGGAATGCTTACTGCCTGTCTGTCATGCAAGAAAGGAGCAAGAATAGAGAAATTTATGATTTATCTCTGACTTTCATATACTGCAAGCTTCTTCTGGGTATATGACTCAGAAGTACTAAAGCCAGACAAAGCCCAGCACCTACAAATTTTATTAGCAGGTCAGAATGAGCAGCTCCAAGAACTCCAATCTAATAAAACGTTAACATAAAGTGGTGTTAAATTCCAGTACTATGCCAGTTAATACAAGAGTATTATACTTTCATACATGCTTTACTTGCAAGATGTAAAATTTAGCCTGTTACCGGACATTCTCAGACTATGGAAGGACTTATAAAACTTATGCAGGCTTAAAAGAAGACAATTTCTGTATGTAAAAGAACATATTTCTTTAAATAAAATTGTAAAAAAAGTATGCAATTTCATTAGGATTATAAATAAATACTATAATAAATAGTGTTGCCATTGCACTGACGCACACTTCATCACCTGTCGCCACATTATCAACGTGCACATTTCAAGTGCAAGAACATGCACCTCTTCACCCTTCACCACAGTGCAGGCACACACTTCTGTACCTCTTGCCACCATGCACTTCTACACCCCTTGTAACTACACCCAAGTACACTTCATTACCTCTCACAATACACTCACCCCCATATTCGTCCCCTTTTTGTTAGTAAATAGTAAAAAAGTTAAATAAACAACACAATTATGCAGCGTGAGGAGATATTTAGGCTGTGTGAGTTTCATCTGTATGCCTTTGGTATGTCAGAACGTAAAGCTGGCCTTACACTTATATTCTTTTCAATAAACCTGTGGCCTGAAAAAAACAAAAAAAAACAAAACTGATTTCTCCAAATACAAATATTCCGCTGGGCTATTGTATTCTGACAGCGGCAGGCGTGCCACTGTCAGAATACCAACTAGCTTGCGTCACTGGCCGAAAAGTTTCCATCAGGCTCCTTTGATTTTTTTCATAGAGCAAAGAAAGTGTCAAAAGAAAAAGTCTTATTTATCCTACAGAGATGTTCTAAAACGACCTGGACAGATTTGTTGGTACCCCTAGAAAACATTATAAATAGATTGGATCATAGTGAAATTTCAAACTAACGGTTATCTGTAAATGTCAATCAACCAAGTTAAATGGATAAAATTAGTCACTCTGCTGTTTGGTACCAACATCACATTAAAATTGGACCTGAGGAGATCAGAAATAAAATTATAGACCAGCATGTCAAAGGTAAGGGCTATATGACAATTTCTAAGCAGCTTGATGTTCTTGAGACTGCAGTTGCAAATCCTAGCAAGAATCTACGGGAGTGTAGCCAACCTCCCTGGATGTGGCAGCAAGAGAAAAATCGACCACAGATTGCACAGATCAATAGTGCGAATGGCAGACAGTGAGCCAGGGAAAACTTCCAAAGAGATACAAGATGAATTCCAAAGTCAAGGTATGTTAGTGGTCTGATCACACCAGACCCAAGAGGACTCCACTGGTGCAAGAAAAACATAAAAAGCCAGTCTGGAATTTGCAAAAATGCATGTAGGCACTACAATGCTTCTGAGAGAATGTCCTTTGGACAGATAAGACAAAGCTGGCAAGTCACATAAGCTCTATTATTCATATAAAAAATAAAGCTTTTAAAGAAAAAAACATCGTACCTACTTTGAAACATGGAAGAGGCTCGGTTATGTTTTGGGGATGTTTTGCTATGTCTTGCTTGGGTGCCTTCTGTGCAGGTCCAAATGAAATCTCAAGACTATCAAGGAATTCTGAAGCAAAACGTACTGCCCAGTGTCACAAATTTCACTGGGTCCCTCAATGATTCACCAAGAACAAAACATTGGACTATTCTGAAGTGGCCTTCTAGTAGCTCTAGTTTTAATCTTATCGAGCATCTATGGAAAGAGCCTAAACATGCTGTCTGAAGAAGGCACACTTCAAATGTGAGGCTGGGGCAGTTTACTCAAGAAGAGCAGGCTAAACTACCTGTTGGCAGGGCAGAAGTCTGATTTTTATTAAATTAGAAATAAACAATGAAAGATGCCAATTACTTACTAATCTTGCTATAAGTTTAAGGTTATTTCATAGACAATTGTGGGCTTTTCTTTTTTTGTGGACTGGTACCAATAAATTTGTCTATTTCTGCAGGTAATTTCTAGCTCCAGAAAACACATTAGGCTGTAATTGTTTTTAAAAATCTTACTGGACTCAGCTGAAAATAACTGTCACTTTTCTTTGATAAATAAGTCCCCTTTTCCAGGGTGAGTTAGCTTTATGAATTAAGACTTTTGTAACAATCAGCCTTTGTCATCTGCTGGTCATTACTCAGAACAGCAGCTCAGGCCTCTGCAGCACACACCTACCCTTATAAAGGATGTTTAAATTTATTATGGGACATTTAGTCTATGCTTGATCAATAGGTTGGCCTGTCTGCTCACACCCTGGATAGAGCTCTAATCTGAGACTGACTTCTGTCAGTCTGTTAATGTCTTGGATTTTTGCTGTGAATTGTTTGAACTGTGTTGGTTCTTTAGTCTGTGCATCTCATGATCTTTACCCTGTTATCCCCTGCAATTGTCAGTCATTGTTTACTTGTCTGGAACTTGGACTATATTTAAGATCTATTGCGTTAAGCCTGTTCGTTATGCCTGTTCCGTCTATCAACCTGTTGACTCTACAACTGTCTCTAGCATCTGTACTATCTGTTAGTTAGCTGTCACCCCTGATCACATAGTGGGTCCAAAAAACTCCATAACACACATCTCCCAAACGTTGCCTTATATTGTTTACTTGCAAACTAATAGTTGCGTGACAGTCTGTCTGCATCTACTAGACTGTAAGCTCTCACAAACAGGGCCCTCCTATCCCTACTGTACTGAAATTGTATTGTAACTGTACCATCCCCCATTTTTTTAAAGAGCTATGCAAACTGTTGGAGCTATATAAATTCTACATAGTAATAATAATAACAACAATAACAGTGTCACAACAAGAGCGTATAAGAAAAACTACATCAAAGTGAACATTTTTTATTAACTGACCTTGTCGGAGAAGAATCATTCGACGTTGAAGATGTTGGCATAGGGCTTGATGGAGCTGAAACCATTGGGCAAGTCAATGGAGATGTTGGACTTGGATTCAGTGAGCTGACCCAAAAAAAAAAAAAATGTATGTTAAAAAAAATGACATACAATATATCAAAAAATGACACCAAAATAATTTTCGTCTGTACAGTTATTTGGATATTTTTTATTTAGAAATTCTGTAAAAACTACAACTTTTTAAGCAAAAAACAAAACAATTGTTTACTTCCTTCACGCTTCCTTCCCCTTCTTTATTGTCACATCTTACTGCGATAAACCAAATTTCAGCTGGAGCTAGATGTGTTGTTGACAGTTAAACCACACAAAAAAATAAATGTGAACCGTTGTCTCAGTGAAGTTTCTTAAACACAAATTAAGAAAATGCTTAAGGAGAAAACAGCTGGGAAGCTGAGACAAACCATATTATGGAATGCACATTTTCAGCCTCCGTAACCAAGCCAAAACTGGGTTCATCCAGACATAAGCTGGTCTTCTAATTAACTAGATCTTCATTACTCATTTGTGGTACAGTGAGCAGTTTCAAGAAAGGAATTATATATGAGAGAGAGAGGAAAAAAACAACTAATAATGGTAATGTTACCATTACTGTTGGTTTAATTGGAAATTAAATAAAAAGAAACCTTTTGTATGATGTCTGCAGACCATGTCCCTGTTGGGAAGATTTCCCTTACTTCCTCTGGCAGGGTTTCGAACTCATCACCAACTTATGTACAACTAAAATTTCAAACAAAGCTAAATTTCAAACTAAATATTTTTTTTTCCTTTTAGTTTTGGATAGAATAGAGAAGGTGAGACCCCCTCTCAGGTTCTTGGTTTCTCTTTGTTGTGTAAAAGATTTTTTTAGCTTTCTGTCCCAGAATAAAGGGTTCATCAGGACAGAAAGTGAAATAGGGATGGAGACAGAAATAAAACACTTTTCTAGTTACAATTAGGAAAGTTGAAAATCTGTTTTTTTGAAGTCTGTGTCCTCACTGGAAATATTTGCTCTCACTTCCGGTGCTGGGTATGGGTTACAGTAGGAAGGGAAGAAATAAAACCCCACTCTTTTCAAGACAAAACAAGATCTGGCTAGAGTTGAGCTTTAACATTGCCAACAAAACTAAAACAGTTTGTAACACAGCAGGCCAGGTCACCCACACAAATCTTTATATGAGCTTAGCCAAGCTTTGTTTAAAAGCATTAACCGTCTGCTTTGTGCTGTTTAACGCAGTAGTCTGCAACACACACATTATTGATCTTAATGACTAAAGAAGGTACAAAAAGCAATAAAGCACATTAGTCAGATCATCTTTTATCAGCCCGTCTGTTCCAAAGTTGCTAATAAAAAGGGCCATTATCACTCACGCTGGAAACATTTACATAGTATTGCTAACACCTAGCATATATGAGGGAAAAAACAACTTATTGACTAGGAGTCAATATTGTTTGAGGTGAATCTGGCAGTAAAGTTAGTTTTGAACGTCTGACTCGTCTTAAGTTTATCTACCAAACTAAAAGATCACATAGAGCCAGCCATATATGTGTGTGAAGGATCAAGCTAAGCCTACATATATAGCTAATTTGTGGCTGGTGTGGTTTTTATTGCTCACTACATATTATTGTTTTTTGCATTTTGCTAATAAATGAATCCATTTGTTCTGATTAAATGTTATTCTAATTTGTCAAACCATCCACAACAACCATATTAACAAATTTTAAATTATCACTGGAAAGTATGCAACTAAAATGATACCCAAGTTAGTAAAGGCAGAACAGGAACCATACTCCCAAAAAAACATAATTCTTTAACAGTCTTAATTTGAATTCTTATTAAATAATAAAAACTACTTTTAATATGGGTTTTCTTGTTCCTGAGCTTTCCCTTGTAGACATATGCAATGCCAGTATCTTGAAGGTCAGTGCTTAAAGGCTTATGAATGACGGCATCAATCTAAGTTCTTTCTACGTCCTCAGCTGCCCTCCATGAAAAGACAAGAGTTGCGTTATATGAACTGTTTGAGGATCAGATCACAAAAGACCAAATGGAATTTAATGTATTGCACTTTCTGAAAACATTGAAAGGATATTGAAGAAAGCATCAATGCAAAACCATGATGGGATTGCTGCCAATGTGGAGGGAGGACCAATTACTCATGCTGTGTAGCTAAGCACAATTGGTCTATATCTGTCAAAGATAAATGATCACTTAGTAATAGTAGCCCCAGTTGGGATACTGAACGCTAACAAATCTTAGTTTGCAGCAGTTAGTATGTATGAGATGAAATGGCTAATATCCAATTTACACACAAGCCTGCTCATTAACTGTGCAGGTCCCTTATACAATAATTTCTAAACGTTTAGAAACTGCAGTCTTTATATAAACCAGTGTAGACGCTAAAGAAATGGCAAACGTTAGACTTGTATTTCTTCCCAGAAATACAAGAGAAAACACATGGGGTCCCCCCTGAAATTCCCAACCAGACCCTTGATCCGAGCACAGGCCTGGCATGGCAGGAAAGGGGGGGGGGGTTGTACGAGCGAGCGCCCCCCCCCCCCCCCTGCCATACCAAGCCACATGCCCTCTGCACTGGGAGGGTGCTTTTCCAGGGTCGCCCCCCTGGACAAGGGCCTCTTCACCACTGGAGGAGTTGGTTGTGCGGGCAGGGGGGCTAATTCACATCAGCGCACCTAGATGCGCCTCCCTTTGTGAATTAATAAGGGGTACTTGTACCCTACCCATTCACTAAAGGGTTCAAATAAATTGTAAATAAAAACACCAGACTTTTGAAAAAATCCTTTAACTGAAAACAAAAAAACATGTCTTTGACAAGACAAAAAAAATGGATCCACCACTGTAATCCAGGGTCAATCACGACGTCCAACGTTGTCCACAACAACAACGACGAAATGAAAATACATAGAAATAATAAAAATAAGAATAGAAAACTATGCCCCCCGACCCGGGTGAAGAACTCCCGCCGCAGAATGGCATATAAACAATTAGGCAGTGCTAGCGATGACAGCTACCAAGCTCCGCCCAAATGTTTACATTTGTACGGCACCTGACAGGTGAGCAATGATTGGGCAAAGTCAACATTACTTTGCCCAATCATGGCTCTTTAGTCCACAGTGCCGTGATTGGGCAAAGTCTTGCACCTGACCTGTGGTCAGGTGCAAGGCTTTACAGGGCACTGTGGGGCACTCAGCGGACGAACAGCCCGCCGAACACCCTGATAGTTTGTGTGTTTGCCGAACAAATAAACCAACAATGTCTGAGTCAAACTCTTGTTCGACTCGAACATCGAGCCCATCGCTAAACCTTAATTCTTCCTTTTGCAGGTTTGTGGACTATTGGCTCATTTCTAACCTTGCAGTTGTTCCCTAATTGGCCATGAGATGGCAGCCACTAGATGTTATATCTGTTATGGTTTATTCTTTCACGCAAGTCATATCAAATTCCAATTTTAATAGTTCACAAGGCTGCTTAAGATTTAATTATTGTTACTCTTTATTCTTCGTACAGGCCCACATTGCCCTTCACTACTCGCATATATGGGCATGTTTATGTAGGTAATACCCCGTTGGTATGTCCAGTTAATTATGCCTGGTTTTCCAATATTTCCAGTTCAGGCCTGTTTTTTTTCTTAGCCACCAGATTATGAAACATAAGACCTCACTTGGAAGGTCAGAGGTACAGGCATTCCACTGAAAAGGTAAATATTTACTTAAATTCGGCAATCTAAAGCCATGTCAAAATGAGTATTAAATGCTTTGGAGGCAATGTTACAATGGTCCTGTTACTCAGGACACACACCTTACTCTACGCAAGTATCAGTCAGAGTTCATGAATATACTTAGTGGCGGTGTATAAAAAAACCACAAAAAATTCCCAGCACACTTACCAGCTAGATTGAAAAACAAAAAACAAAATTTACACTGTCTCACAACTTCCATTAAAAACAGAGGTTCAAGTTGACAACTTTTGCAATATATATGTGGAAGCCACACTGCCTCCTCAAGGCTCCTCTGTAGTGTGGTCCTAACTCTAATCTATGAGAGTCTCCATCTTGGAGCATATATAGCAATGGCCAAATTGAGTGCAGTTATGCCTGGAGGTAGCCCATCACTCCTTTTGTCTTGTAGGTTAGCTGGTAAGTGGGAAAAGCCCATGTGCACCTCACTTTGAAAGTTAGTTACAAATTAATTTGTGCTGTTGCCATAGTTGTCAAAACTAAAACAGACCCCCAAGGGCAAGTATGTCCTTATTTATGCTACTCTTTCCTTAACACCCTTTGTGATAATTGGTCTGTAAAATCCACCATTGTCCTTATTGTGTTTAATTGCAATACATTGCAAGCTTCTGTAAGGACTAAAGCACATGATTTTAAGTTTGTTGTAAAGCACTGAATAACATGTAAGCGCTATAGCACAGTAGAGCCTTCTTAGAACTCAAGGTATTCACACGTCTCATTCCACCACCTATCCCAAAAATGATGGGATTCTTGTACTTTCCGTAAACAAGTTTTTTTTTTTTAAAGGATACAATGGAGATCTTGAATCTCTGACCACAGTGAATCAAAAAATTCTACAAAGCTATCAGAACATCTGCTGCTTTAAAGGATCTTGCACCTGAAGACAAATGGTTGTGTATTTTTGTGGAGACACAGGTCCTGGACACACCTCCAGAAGTAGGGCCCATTTCCTTGATTGCTCTGATGGCACCAGAAGTCTACCTGCCAACTGTCCACACCTGGATGGTAAATGCTGGACAAGCCTGAAACATGAAGTTCTTACCCAAGACAGAACCCTTTCTACTGCTGTTGCCGTGGCAAGACACCAAGTTTCTCCCTGATGTTTGATGTACGCTAGTACCATGACATTGTTCATATGAAACCAGAAGAGATGACCCACTGGGAGGACCAGTGTTGTAGAGACAACCATATCGCTTGAAGCACCAGAATGTTGAGCGAGAGTGGGATTCCACTGGTGTCCAAATCCCCTGCACCGACTAGGACCCTTCCAGAGTCTGGCAGGCTGGCATCAATAGCAAGAATATACCAAGA